CGTATGGGACCATTGTACTCATGGCCTTTAGGTAGTCGTTAACAACTCGCCGGATTTCCGCAACGCCTCAGCACGACATCGAATCCGAGCGATGATCGGGGATTTTGCGACAACGCGGCATTCCATAGGGATGGAAGCTGTACAGTTCTGGATGAATGATATGGAATCGTACGTTACAATTTGTTGACTGGACTGACTAATTCCTTGGTGACCGAATGAACCTACTCGGGACTTCAGCGCATGATTGAATGGTCTTTGGCTGCGTGCGTATCGATTGGCTGCCGCGTGGCGACTGCACGCGTCTTGACGCTCTCTCTACAGTCATGCTCACCCAAGCTGCTCCTTAGGTTTCACTCTTTGAAAGCACGTCCCGCGTTTGAAATTGGTCATTTGGGCTGCTCAAATGTGAAGAACAAGATGGCGAGTAACAGGAGAACGAAGAAAAAAGCAAAAAAAATATTGGCCCAACATGCCTCATATAGAAGCTTATGTCGAACCACTGTAGGTGCATAAGGCGAAGGAGGTTTGTGGTCGGATGAGTTCACACTTATTCGTGCCAGCTCTTTCTCCCCATCACCTCACTCTCACCATTCGAAATGGAGAGCGTAGGTAGCGGAATAACCGAACCACCAGGGAGCCTTTAGAAATGGGAGTTGGGCGTTGCCCTGGTCATTGGGCGGACCATGGCTTCGTCGCGAGCGAGTCGAACTTTTCTCATGTATGAGCTGCAGAAGCAGGTCATCCTTCCTGCTTGAGGGTAGGACCATATGTCCAAAGGTCTCTGAACATCAAGTGAACGCGGAGGATGCATTCATGTTTTTCTTTCAGCTACTACCATGATACTCTGGACATGAAGATTATCGACGGTGCATTCTACAGCATGCTAAGACACTGGCTTGCTTCTAAACACAACAACCCTTGGGCCGAAGATCTTTATTGGAGTGAAGAGGAGAATGGCAGCGTGACACTGAAGAGCTTCCGGTGAGTTCGAGAACTTACTGATTATCCACAAGGGTTCTTCAACAACTAACATCCGAAAATGGTGTATTTTTCGGGTTTATCTTCTCTGCAATTATCAGCTCGTTCAGGTTCTTGCTTGGTATGCGTGATATCTCGTCCACTACAGACCAGATGGATGCTACACTGATGTTCAGAGAGGTAAGATGCCTTCGCTCATTGTCGCTCTAATAGTGCTTACTATGGAGAGGCTACCGCGTAGTTCATGTGCAATGTTATTTCCTTTGTCGTGTGCATCAGGGAGCCTTTCAGATTGGGCAAGAAGCAGTTGAAGACAAACTGGTACATCACCGTACAGAAGATCCTTTGCCATTAAGCCACTGAAAGGCAGTTGGCACGATAATTTGATACTCAGCCTAAAATGCTCGCAGGGCGCTATTTACTGGGGGAAAAATGGCGAAAAAACGAAGTGAAACGGTCCAAAACTGGCGAAGAAAATCCTTCGTTCCTTGAGAAGGCGATTTCGGACGAGTTTTCCGTGGGAGTAGTGCAAATAGCCGCTCCGGTAGGTGCGGCTGCATCTATGTACTCATATATCCTTTCAGCGCCGCAGCCGCTTCATACCAATCTCTTCGCTTCATATTTTAAATAGCAAATGAAGCAAAACGAGCATCTTGGTAGGGTCGTCCATTTGTGGGCGGGCGCGTGGTAGGCGTTTGGGTCGGAAAGTTGTAGCTTGATAGGACCCTTATAAGGGTACCTCCGTGGGAAAAGACCGCTACGCAGGGCCTGCTCAGGGTCGCGGGAAATCCTTCCCGCCAGGCATATAAATCCCCTCGTTCTTCTGTGGAATCTCATCGTGCTAACTGGGCCTTAAACGACTGCGTAGCTGCAGGCAGCTCGCCCCAGCCGACTTTCTCCGACAAAATGCACGGTAACGGCTATGTAGGTCGTGGTATCCACGAAGCCGTCCCCATATTACTCGATGGCCAAGGTCCCACAGCGAAAGACGTGCTCAGCGTTAGAGAACAACCGGAAGTTGGAGAGCACAGACAAGTAGCGCCTCTACCATGGGTGCAGCTGAGCCTGCGGCAGCACGGGCGGAGTATGCAAACAGCACCCGAGCGTCATCACTTGTCTAGCTCCCCGTTCTCGAGCCGTTCATCTTAGGGAGTTCCCATCGTTACGCGCGACAGCTGGGGCCATTTTTCGGTTACACAGAATGGATCAGAATCCAAAGAGAAGTGAGTGTACAAAGTATACCATTCTGGATTGGTCGGGTGGGAGGAGGATTAGAACGGGTGGGGAGTCGGCGGCAATCTCTCTTCCTTTGCTCACCGACTCAGTTGTCCGAAGATTAGGTTCAAGATGCGCACAAGACCGTCTACAATCACAGTCTCCAAATGGTTTGTTTTGCTGTATTGAAGCAAATGTTGTCATTTATTTTTGTTATTATTTTTATTTTTGCTTTTTCACAGGTGCTTCACCGCTGGCCAGAGTTTCAACATCACCACATTCATGCCCTTATGGTTATTCACCGATCAGTACGCTATTATCATTCCAAACACTGTAAGTACTTTGTGTGCTCAACACCACATCACATAATATTCTCAGAGTGTAAACTGTTCCTCCCTCAGATCAAAGCGTAACCATAAAGACCCCCGCCATCGATAGCCAAGCACTGCCGCCGCGCGACGGCTCGCGCGTTGTTTGCCTGGGAAAAGGACACGCCCCGAAAGCCTTATGCTGATCTCTACTACGTACTGTCACGAGTCACCTGGGCGCTCACATTTGAGTAATCACTTAATTTTCCTCATGAATTGCTAGAAGTGGGATCCCTTACCCTCTCAGCGTTTGTAAAAGTGAAGGTTGTTTAAAAAAAAAATATTACCTCTCAGCAATGTTTGAAAGTGAAGGTTTTTGAAAACAAAATGGTAAATGGTCTTTCGGTGTAGATCAACACCTTCTGGGGATGCTTCACACATTACACTTTCGCCTAGAATAGTAGCAGCATTTTGAGTGTGTTTCGCTTATAAAATGCCTGCCAGCCGATGTACATGCTAGCGTTTTTACCCTACTAAACAAGTGTGGCACTAACTAAACTATCCAGAGGGTTGGAGGACTGGGCAGTGAGCTACTCCATGTTTTGATCCCTGGATCGCGTGCGTGGCGAGCGGCACCACTTCCTTCTTCACCACCTCTTTCCATTTTGTAGTAAGTAGTTGATAATTACGAGATTTGAAATTCCTATATTTTCGTGTTTTCAGGTACAAAACATCATAATCGCCTTGTCGTGTATGATTATTATTGCATTTGTTCTCATCCCACAACCGATGTGTGCTTTCTGGGTCGCGTTGGCTTGCGGTTCAATAGATTTTGGTGTAGTCGGGTATATGACCCTATGGGGCGTGAATTTGGTGAGTACTTCTTATATGAAACAGTTTCTCAGACTCTCGTTTCCTTCAGCTATTCTCTTTAGCCGAGCACTTGCTCTAGCAAGAAACTGACTTAAAACTAACACTACGCTCAGGCAATCGAGACCCGTATCCTTGCGTGCTTCCCTTTTGTACTTGTATGTCACAGGTCGTACACTACGGATCTCCAGCGGGAGGTCTCAGTGGGGGGGGGGGAATTGGTTCGTCGCTGTAGGGAGGGGGGGGGAGCATATCTGCCCTCAACAAAATTTTTCTGACTCTTCCGGCTTTTCTGTTTCACATGTGCTATATCCCCCGCTCAACGGCGTTTTTTTTTCGAGGAAATACTGAGGAACTGTTTTGGGAGTTGGGCAAGCTCAGAAAGATCTTCTTGTTTTTCTTTAGGGTTTGTCCCGCTTGGTGGCATGGTCCGCTTTGAAATAAGATTCACGTGTCATAGTTGAACATGGTGATGTGACATATGGTGTTCGTAGGCCGGCCCGTCATCAAGGCCTGTCACCTGCATGCGGGTGTCCGCGACTGGCAGCTGCAAAAGCGAGCAGTTCCCAGTGGTAGTGGAGGAGCGGACTTCACCGCCAAAGCTCAGAAAGATAGTAGGTAAAATGGGAATGTGGCGGACGGAAACCAGTACAGG